GATGAAGGGTCTAGGCCCGAAACGTCAGCCTTCCTGCTCCTATGATGCTGCTTGGCCTGCTGTGTTCATCCAGCTGTACACCTTGTAATCAGAGGAGCAGGAAAAGTGACGTTTCGGGTCGGGACCCTTTTTCAGAAATGGGGAGGTGGGGAATGGAGCTCAGAAATAAATAGAGGAGGGGTGGGGCTGGGGAAGGTAGATGTGATGATGATAGGTGAGTGCAGGTAGGCAGTGGTGGGGATTGGTCAGTGAGGTAGGAGGAGCGGATAGGTGGGAGATAAGATGGACAGGTCAAGGAGCCGTGGATGAGAGGGAGGATGGGTGGGCCTGGGGAAAAGGTAGGTGGGGTGGATGCAGGTAGGGGGTAGTGGGGTTTGGTTGGTGGGAAGGGTGGGGCGGATAGGTGGGAGAGAAGATGGACAGGTTGTATCACGTCAAGGAGGCGGGGATAAAAGGGAGGGTTAGTCATGGGATGTGGCCAGGGTTGGGGATATTTTGAAACTAGTAAAGGGCACATTGAGACCATTTGGTTGTAGGCTCCCGAGGTAGAATATGAGGTGCTGTTACTCCAGTTTCCGGTTGGTGTCATTGTGACACTGGAGGAGGCCCAGGATGGACATGTCGTTCAGGGAGTGGAGGGGGGATTTGAAATGGTTTGGACTGGAAGGTGTTGTCGTTTGTCACAAGCAGAGTGCAAGTGCTCTACAAAGCTGTCTCCGAGCCTCTGTTTGGTCTCACCAATGCAGAGGAGGCCATAATGGAAGCAGCGGATGCAGTAGACCAAGTTGGAGGATGTGCAGGTGAACATCTGTCTGATGTGAAAGATTTTTTTGGTTCCTTGGATGGAGGTGAGGGGGGAGGTGTATGGGCAGGTGTAGCACTTCCTGCTGTTGCAGGGAAAGGTGCTGGTCGTGATGCGGCTAGTGGGGAGTGTGGAGCGGACAATGGAGTCGCGGAGAGACCGGTCCCTACGAAAAGCAGATAGGGGTGGGGAGGGAAATATATCCTTTGTTGTGGGGTCAGATTGCAGGTGGTGGAAGTGGCAGAGAATGATACGTTGAATCTGGAGGTTAGTGGGGTGATACATGAGGATAAGTGGGATTCTGTCTTTGTATTTGTTGGGGGTGGGGGAATGTGAGGGCTGAAGTGCGGGAAATGCAAGAGATGCGGTCAAGAACATTTTCGATCACTGAAGGTGGGGGGGGTTGCGGTCCTTGAAATAAGAGGACATCTGGGATGTTTGGGAGTGGGATCGCCACATCTTAGGAGCAGACAAGGCGGAGGCAGAGGAATTGGGAATAGGGGAGTAGGTGGGTGAGAGGAGGTGTAGCCTAGATAGATGTGGCAGTTGGTGGGCTTGAAATAGACATCGGTTTTGTGGCGGTCACCAGAATGGAGACAGACAGGTCCAGGAAGAAGAGAGGTGTCAGAGATGGTCCAGGTAAACTTGAGGTTAGGGGTGAAAGGTGTTAGTAAAGTGGATGAACTGTTCAAGCTCCTCGTGGGAATGTGAGGCAGCACGGATACAGTCATCCATGTAGCAGAGGGAAGAGGTGGGGGATAGTGCCACTGCCATTTCTGAAGAAGGGTCCCGACACAAAATGTCAATTTTCCTGCTCCTCTGATGCTGACTGGCCTGCTGTGCTCCTCTAGCTCCACACTGTGTTATCTCTGACTCCAGTATCGGCAGTTCTTACTATCTCTTAGATTACAGGAGGATGTAGACGTGCCAAATGGAATTCAATGGATAAATGTGAGATGATGCACTTGGGCAGAACAAAGAAGCCAAGGGAATACTTGACAAATGGTAGGACCCATTGAAGCACTGAGAATCAGGACTTTGGTGTGCATGTCCACCAGTCCTTTAAGGTAGTGGGACAGGTGGATAAAGTCATTTGATTTGATGTATTATTGTCACATGTACCAACATTCAGTGAAAAGTATTGTTTTGCATGCTAACTTGACAAATCATACTTTACATAGGTACATCAAGGTAATAGAACAGAATACAAATTATAGTGTTACGGTTACAGAGAAGTTGTAGAGAAAGATCAACTCTAATTATTGAGAGGTCCGTTCAGAAGTTTGATAACAGAGGGAAAGAAGCTGTTCTTAAATCTATTGGTATGTTGTTTTCAAACTTTTGTTTTTTCTTCCGGACGGAAGAGAGTATAACTGGGCTGGAAGGGATCTTTGATTATGTTGGCTGCCTTTACGAGGCAGCGGGAAGTATCGACGGAGTCAATGGAAGGAAGGCTGGTTTGCGAGAAGGATTTGGCTGAAGTGCTTAAGAAGACAAACAGGATACTTGCCTTTATTAGCTGAGGCATAGGGTTTAAGAGCAGGAAGGTTATATAAAATGGAACTATATAAAATGTTGGTTAGGCCACGGAGTATTGTGTGCAGTTCTGGACTCCACATTATAGGAGGAATTTGATAGCACTGGAGAGGGTGCAGAGAAGATTAACCAGGATGTTGCCTGGGTTGGAGAGTTTCAGTGATGAAGAGAGATTGGACAGACTGGGGTTGTTTTCCTCAGAGTAGAGGAGACTGAGGGAACATGAGTGAGATGTATAAAATCATGAGGAGCATAGATAGGGTAGACAGGAAGAAACTTTTCCCCTTGATGAAGGGATTAATGACATAGGAGGACATAGATTTAAGGTAAGAGGCAGAAGGTTTAAAGGAGATGTGAGGAAAAAGTTTTCACCACAGGGTGATGGGAATCTGGAACTCACTCTGTAAGGGTGGGAGAGGCAGAAGCCCTCATAACTTTGAAATATTTAGATGTGCACTTGTGATGCCAAGGCAATGCGCTGGAAAATGGAATTAGAATCACTAGGTGCTTGATTTTGACCTGTACAGACTCAATGGGCAGAAGGTCCTTTTTCTGAGCTGTAGACCTTTATGACTCTAAGTAATGTGAACTATTATCATCAAGACATACCAAATTTATGAGGGTGTAACAATTTATTTTTGGAGAAAAGAGCATTGATTGGTTAGTAAGTCAGTGTGATGGATTAAGGTATTGCCACAATGAATGCACCAGGGTGATTGTTCCCTGTGCTTTTGTTTAATTCACAAAGTCAAAATGCCTGGATATGTTCCATTTGCCTGTGAAGATATGTAGCTTCCAGCAAGCATATGTGAGCCCATTGTTGTGAGCCTGACCCATGAATGTAAACTGATAATTCTTAGCACAATTGGAATTGTTCAGTAAGTGTTTCCTTTATACTTAGTGTTCATCATTCTGAATCACGCTCGAATTGCAAATTGAAACACAGCCAATTATTTTTCAAACCTAAGGGTTCCAAACACATCCATCGAAGATGAAATATCATTGAGATTGAAGGATGATATTTACATTTCAGAATGCGCTAAAATTAATCTTGCAACGTGAAGGGAGTTTCTATAAAGGCAAAGGATATTGTAAATTAAAATGTTTTACAACATTGCTGAAAGTTATGGCTGTATTATTTTGTTTTGAATTAGCACTCTCAGTGTCGTAATTTAAAATTCATTACTCTTCTCTCTATTCAGGTTTCAGTTGTGGAAATTATGTGCTTAGAAAGAAGTGATTCACGATAGAGCAAGTGTTTGAATTAGGATGGTAGAAGTGGTCCTCATTGACTTTTCTGACGTTCACTATGATTACATTGAGAAGTGGCTGCATAGTGCGGTGAATATCATCAGCACATGCAATTTAACAGAGTCTTCATATGTGTTCATGACGTATAGCCAGGACAACACCGACATTGTGAATAATGACATCCAGAAATACTTGCACCAATTGTCAAATCAGGTTGAAATGCCGAAAGCCAACCTTGAGGTGTTGGTACAGGCCAGTTTTGCTGCTATCTTATACACAGTCAAACAGAAGATTGACAAACAGAGCCTCAGCAACATTCAGGTGATTGTATCCACAGGAAGGAAAGCCGCATTCGAGGTCTATGTGCAACAACTTTTCACAGCAACTTATAAATTCACATTTGAGACTCTTGTAATTGGGAGTGAAGGTGAAATAAAACTACAGTTACCAGGAACTTGCGTGCTCATGAGCCAACAAAGAGATGACATTTGGAAGGACATCTGGATGTTCATGGCACAACTCAAAGGAGTTATGGGGGAGATTGTCATTCTCAAATCTCTGCTGATCCCAGGTATATGTTTATAAATATGTTGATACTGAATATAAAAATGCTACTCAGACTACCTGCCATTTTCAGAGCTCACCACCAACATGTTGTTGTAACATTTTCAATTGTCACATAGAATCACATCATAGAATCCCATTCGGCCCATCAGGTCTACACTGACCCTCTGAGGAACATCCCACCCAGAACCAACACCCCCTACCCTACCCCTGTAACCCCACATCTCCCATGTCTAATCCATCTGCACATCCCTGGACACTGTGGGAAATTTAGTACTGCCAGTCCACCTAACCCGCACATCTTTGGCCTGGAGCTGGAGAAGGTGGTTTCATGAATGTGACTACCGTTGCCTCAGCAGTATTGGTTACAAGTACTGGATTGGAAGTGAAAAGAAAAACAAAAAAATCTGCAGATGCTGGAAATCAGAAACAGAAACAGAAATTGCTGGAAAATTTCAGCAGGTCTAGCAGCATCAGTGGAGAGAAATCAGATTTACTGTTTCAGGTCCAGTGACCCTTCTTCAGAACTGCAGTATTGGAAGGATGTGGAGGTTTTGGAAAGGATGCAGAAGAGGTTTACCAGGACGTTCCCTGGGTTAGAGTGTTTTAGCTATAAGAGCTTGGATAAACTTGGATTGTTTTTGGTAGAGTGTCAGAGGCTGAGAGGCAACCTTATAGAGGTATATAAAATTATGAGGCATGGATAGTATGGATACTTAGAGTCTGTTTTCCAGGGCAGAAATGTCAAATGCTAGCGGGTGTAGGTTTAAGGTGAGGGGGAGAAACTTTCAAGGAGATGTGCAAGGAATGTTTTTTACACAGAGGGTGGTAGATGTTTAGAATGCACTACCGGGGGAGGTGGTAGAAGCAGGTACTAAAGCAATGCTTATAAGGCATTTAGACAGACACTCAAACGGGAAGAAGAAAGAGGGAAATGGACCATGTGCAGGCAGATGGGATTAGTTTAGAAGGCATCATGGTCGGCAGAAGGGCCTTTCCTATCCTGTACTGTTCAACCTTCTATCTTCTTGCATCTTTTGTATATTCTGAGCATCCTGTATATCTAGCTCCTCTCCATGTGGAAATTGACAGTTTTTAACAAGATGCAGTGAGGCTATTGTACCTCTTTCCATAAGCCCCCTTGGAGTTTAGAACAGGCAACGGGCCTGAGGTTGTGTGGAAGGGAGTCCACCCCATTGAACAGTTCAAAAAGGCCGCACAATCTAGCTGCCATTGTCCCCTCTGAATCCCACACCTTCAGTTTAACCTAGACCCTAGGCCCGAAACGTCAGCCTTTCTGCTCCTATGCTGCTGCTTGGCCTGCTGTGTTCATCCAGCCCTGCACCTTATTGTCTCGGATTCTCCAGCATCTGCAGTTCCTACTATCTCTGATTCAACCTACTGTTAGAGTTGTGATTGGCAGACATGCTGGGAGTTGTAGGTATGGGCTCCTAGGTTTTGGCACTGCACCCAAGGCGGAGTTGGAAAATAGAAATGTCCTGTACCCACAGAGGGGAAGGAGCCCCTCTGGATTCACGGTCAAAAAACGGGATAGACCTGATAGGAATGGAGGGGTAATAGGGCCTGGATGCAGTTCAGTGATCTCACAGGAGTGAACAAAGTAAATGAATACATGTTCAAAGATGACAAGGTCCACCATTGACTTTCATACTGCTGTAATCACCCCTCCTCCCTCACCCAACCATCAACAATTCCCAGCAAACAGGCCTCATACCTGATATCCCCATGTTATACCTTGTCCTCACACACGGAGCACTGCAGCATGCCTCTCACCCAACGTCTCTTGGGGCCGCATGCGTTGGCGGCTATTCAACCACACCAGCCGCATCAGCACAGCACACTGTCACAGCTGCTCCTCTCTTACCAGGCACGTCTGCCTGGGCAAGACCATAAGACATAGGAGCAGAATTAGACCTTTCAGCCCATTGAATCTGCTCCACCATTCGATCGTGGCTGATATGGCATGCTGCATACAACATAGTTGGAGAGACACTGATTCCTGGGTCCTGAAGCCCCAGGAGAAAACCAAACTCCACTCGTCATCCTGGGGTACCCATTCCTGAGGCAGTGGGGGAACACAGAAACTGCCTAAGATGACAGTATCCTCAGATGTAAGTCTCTGTATTAAAATCCCTCTTGCCCCATTCTCTTTCTCCTGATTTGCAAGGGTCCAGATGGTTTAAGCAGAGACCTGTTTCCTACACGACGACCTTTGACCCTTTCTCTTTTCAGATACTCAAGAAAGGCAGAATGATAAGGCACAAAAGATAATGACAAGGACACCCACCATTGATCTATCATGTTCTCAGCCATCAGCTCAGATACTGACTCTGCATTCATCCTTGATGGTGGCATTGTGGCAGGATGCACGTGTTAACATCATGGCCACCATGGTCTCCATCTTGGACTAAAGACAACAACAACTTGCTCAAAGGCTGAGGTCACACACAAGGCCCCACACCTGGCATATCCTGAGATGACTAATTTCAGGCATGTATTATCTGGTTTCTAAATCTCATTTAAAATTTGACAGATTTATTTCTTCATGGCTTTACGACCAGAACGGGTGGTATATCCTACCTACCAGGCCTAAGTTCCTTAAACCTCTTCAGTAGCTGGAAACGGAGAGACCCAAAAGCTGTGGTTACAGAGAATATCCGACGCTTGAGTATGAGTGCAGGATTTAACCCTCAAATGTACTACCTCGCAAAGGTAACACTTCTGCTTTCTGAATAGAGAGTTACTGTGGTCACTAGTGAACAGTGTGTTCTCATAATATTTGAGGAAGTGGAGAAATGTTTTTAATATGATGGGCCCTTTTTTTTGACATTAGTGGGGGTGGATTTGTAGGGATTGGAATGAGGTCAACCAGGTGGATCTCACAGACTATGGGTTCCCTGATTGGGGCTGTTAATCTGGTCCAATCTGTCAGCCAGGGCTCCCTGATATCAACAGTAGTGTCAGAGATTTTGTTGACTCTCCGAGCTGGCTCTGAGGGAGCTGGATCAGTGTCAAGGACTTTCCATGTGTAAATAAAGGGTAACTTGGTGACGAGATACTGGCCTCGGTGGAGTTATTTCAGATTCCTGATTCTGACAGATCATACAATCCCAACAGTTCATCCTCCCAGAGTTCCCATTCAGGCTGATTATCCAGGAACTCCTGGCAGACATGGACATGACATGTTTGAATTGAAAACAAGGATGAGAATGATAAAATTGAGATGCTGCTAGACTGGGAGCTGAGGTGGCTCAACGACGGGTGAATGGGACTTCAGATGAGTTACGATTGAGGGAAGTAAAGATTTGGCAGAAGATAACTGTTAACATGTTTGTTGTTACACACCTCCCTGTAGTTCCAGAGTCTGGTGCTTGCTGTCAATATTCACATAGTCACATGCAGTAGCACTTAGTCCAGTACTTTCAAACTTTATCCCATTCCAACCCCATTCCGACCTTGGAAATTACCATGGCTATTGCAGAAAATACGGAGGCATGGGATTGAGGGTGATTTAGCGGTTTGGATCAGAAATTGGCTAGCTGTAAGAAGACAGAGGGTGGTGGTTGATGGGAAATGTTCATCCTGGAGTTCAGTTACTAGTGGTGTACCTCAAGGATCTGTT